AAGAAATTGAATGATGTATTAAACTTCAAGAAATGTTTAGTAACGTAGTTATGAAGAAAAAACGAAAAAAAGCGCGTTTTTTTTCGTTTTTTGATGAACAATTATCGTGGTTACTGTAGCTTGACTAAGCGTTATATGCTTAGCCTATAAAAAACTCGAAACATTCAAATGGATTATGTGCCCAAAAGCTACCGTCAATTAAAAATGCTAGTTACATTTGAGTGCTCCTTCACGCTTGGTTTTGCATCATACAATTCTTTGGCATAAAGATTTCTTTGTTTTTAAATTCTAACTTTCTCTATTATTTGACTATTCTTTCAAGCATTTTTATTGTAAGTAATCAATTATTACCAATGAGTTCCATTGAATAAGGGTGTTTATTATTCAAAACAATATTGAAATCGATGAGATAAATACAATACATACAATGCCACCGTACTTTTGTTTGACTTCTGAAAAGTGAAAATTTAAGTGAAGAAGCCTTAAAGCGACTTTACGCACAATTAGAAAACGTTGAAGTTTGGAATTTTGCGTTTTGGTGTTTGCGATTGTTGAGCTAGTGAGGAACTAAAAAACGATAACAATCGCTCCAATCACATAGACGATCATGGTAAGACAGCTGGCTAGATTGTTCATAGCAGCATGGATTTGAAGCCAGTCGGCTGATGCATCCTGAAAGTATCCCTTAAGTGGTTGCCTTACTGTACTTAAGCTATAACGTGATTCTTGCATACCTTGGAGGAGGTTCCATCAGTGATAGGTTCTTCTTCAGATCCACAGCAAAGGTTAGCGTTGAGTACGGAGGCTAGAAGTGTGAAGCGGTGTGCTGCAAGATGAAAATCAGGGCTTGAGAGGAAATAGCCAAAACGGTGCTACAAAGGATTTTAAAGAGTAAATTTAAGGATAGTGGAGGGGTATGTTTGAACATAATATATTTGCAGATCAGCTGAAAATAGAGCATAATCCCAAACTTAAAAGCTAGAAAGGTTTCAATTTTTGAGTGGAAAGGGTGTTTGTGACTAACGATTTCCTTGAAAACAATTTGGAGAAAATTAAGTATTAGCTGATCTATTCAGACTTAATGCCGATGTTTCAGAAAAAAAGGAGTTACTTTGTATTCACTAGAGAATGAGAAAAAATGAAAGGAATGAGAATTCCCCTATTGAAGTTTGAAGAATCAGGCATTTGTTGCGAATCATAACTTGATCACCTGGTGGCACTTTCCGCTTAATTCTGCTCATTGCAGCTATCAGCACGGTAACAATCAAGCTGACCACAGTCACAGCTAGTGTGAATGCATAGAAAACATCTGAAAAAGTATAAGAGATGACACAGACGTGAGATATTTGAACACTCTCAGCCTTACAAATTTTTGGCACAGTAGCTCCAAAACCTAATTGTGGAGTTTTCTCAGCCATAAATTGGAAGCTCATGAATTGTAGTAATAGGGCGAACATTTTCACTTTGATCTGAAAAACCGAAGGTTAGTCTTTTGTTTCCTTACTTAGCTAATTTAATCACCAATAAATGAAACCTTAGCCTATGTTTATTGTGCGTAGTAAGGCCACGAAAACTACTGTAAGGAAATAGGTGAATGAGTTTTTACCTGCTGATCGAATTTGCCAAAGAAGGGTGCAATTAGAAGCAACAATGCAGATATGAGAACAGGAAGGGTCAACTCCACTGCCAGCGTTGTTGATTTACGTCTTGCTGTCAAGCAAATTTCGAGCGTTTCTGCCCTGAATAAAAAGAAGATGAGAACCAAAAAGTCGGTGAAGAATAATGTTCCATCTCTTTTGATGCCAAAGATATGTGCATGGTTTTGGAGAATTAAGCACAAACTATTTTTGGAAGCAGTTTCCAATAAATCCTATTTTAAAAAAACTTTAATGATCTTTTTTAGGAAAATGATACTGCATACTTCGGTAGTTTCAATGAAAAATAAATATACTGCTGCACATTCTTAAATGGGTTATATAAGATCTTCAAGTTTCTGTTTAGAAAGTTTACCATAGGTATATCCACGGGAAGTAATTTTTTCTTGCCCACTTCTTTTGCAGGGTTTCCTTCCATGCTAACTTACAGT